GTGTGGCTGCAGGGCCACAGGCCTTCCTGCTGGCCTCTGGGGACAGGCCGGCTGCACCTGCCCCAGGGTGCTGCGGCTCAGGCTCTGGGGGCGGAGCCGGGAAGGGGTGTGGTCAGTTCCGGAAGGTGCGGCAGACTGGGACCCTGCGCTGTGTGGAGGAGGCAGCGAGGGTCCCTGGTCTCGGGTGCCCGAGTGCAGGAGGGGGCTCCACAGGACACGGGGTTGGCTGTAGGTCAGGACCCACGGCCTTCCTTCAGGGCCTGCAGCTCGGGCTGAGAGGTTCACACAGCGCACGGGACCCCGAGTGGCCCCCTCTCTGCCCTGGTCCCCAGGGGCCCAGGTTCGGTACCAGCCCGGCCCTGGCACGTCCAGGCCCCTGTCCGGTCACCGCTTCCTCCAAAGGCTGGTCAGAGGGGATGCGGTGCCCGCCTGTTCCGTCTCTCCGCACTGCCTGAGCCCCATGGGAGCACAGTCCCATGTCCCTGGTTCCCATGGGCGTCACCCGAGGGGGTCGGCCCGAGTGTGGCCACACTGTCGCTGGTCAGGGGCTGGAGGGGTGATGGAGCTTTTGTGCAACTGGGCGTTGCCGTGGCACTCGGGAATATGTCCACCGTGCTGGTCAGAGTCAGTCTGGGCAGCAGTGGGGCAGGACGCAGACCCAGGGACGGGTCCCCCCTGGATGGTCGGAGGAGCCCGGGCCCACGCGGTATGCGGAGGGGCCGGTCCCAGGCAGCCAGGACCCTGATGGCCTCACACTTGAAGACAAAAGTGATGCACAGCTCGTGGCCGAGAGCCGTGTCCTGGGGCGGCAGGGTCGGTCCGGGACGGCCTCCCGTGTCCCCGAGCTCTCTGGGGCCCCAGGGACCTCAGGGACCCCGGCGGCTGTCGGCCGCGACGTGGAGGCGCTGCGATCGTCCCCCGTCTAGAAACACCTCCTCCCTGCGCTCCCTGCGCCGGGCCACGGCCGGGCCCGCCCGCCTCTCCTCGTGGTTTTCCCTGCTGACCCGCATCTGTGTTTATTACGGCCACGTGGGCACGAAGGCGTGTGCGGCTGTCCCACGTGTGGGCAGTGCACTCCTGAGGGTTCGCAGAGCCCGAATGCAGACCAGGGTCCCGGAAGACCCGGAGGCAGGGCGTGAGCTCGGTCCCCGGCGGGGAGGGTCTGTCGCCGCCTCTGCTGAGTTCCGCACTCAGTCCTGGGGGGGTGGGGGGAGCAGCCCACGGGGTCCCCGAGCCCCCGTCCGTGTGCCTGGGGTGGGGGGGTCGCTGTCTCCGCGCCAGGACCAGCCTTGTCCTCCAGGCGCTGGCTCGGCTGAGGGTGTCTCAGGGGCCGAGGGGCCTCCGGTTTGGTGGGGTCTCCTCTGCCCCGGCCGCTCACCATGTACCCTGCTCCCGGACGGACCCCCCGCCAGTCTGGTCTTCGTCTTCATCTCCCCCACCCTGAACGTCGTAAACCCTGCCACCTGCTGTCTTCTGGGCACTGTTCACGCCGCCTCTCGAGGTTTGTGGGAGGAAGGAGCTGGGGAGGATCCCGAAATAATAATAAACATGTTGTGCACAGAAATTCCGTCATTCCAGCCACGGCCCCTGGTTTTTCACGTGCATTCAGTACCTTTGAGTTCAGTTGAGTCGCGTTGAAGAAACCGGCCGTGGAAGGGCCAGGTTTGGGGAGACGTCAGCTGAAGGCGGCTCCTTCGGTCAGTGTCTCGTGCGGGGTGAGGCGGTGTTCAGAGCGCCCTGGTCCCCCCGTCCCCCCCCCCGCAGCCCCCTCTGTCTGCCCGGTGACCCTGCCACACGTCTAGCTCTGCGGCTCGGTGTCGGCCCCTGACTGGCCACCTGCGTCTGCACCCACGTGCGTCTGCACCCATGTGCTGGGCTCTGTCTGCGGGCGGCCCGTCTACTGGGCACCGAATGCAATGATGGGCCTGTCGGCTTCTGGGCCCCGGGCTGAGCCCCTGACCCCAAAACTCGGGGAGTGGCCCAGACACTTGGCAGTCGGAGCAATGGTCACCCCGAGTCCTCCTTCCCCAACGGCACCCGCCCACCCGCAGCAGCCCCCCATCCAGCTGTCCTGTGGGGGCCGGAGCCGCAGGCTCACCGTTCAGTGGCCGCAAAGGGGCTGCTTGGTCAGCGCCTGTTAAACACTCAAGTGACCGACGTGGCTGACCACTGGCTGCGAGAACGTGAGCCACACACGGGGCGGCGGAAGACACCTCCGTGCACCCCAGTTGGTGGGTTCTGTGCCGCGCCGGCGCTGGAACAGAGCCTCTGCCGGCGCACAACACAAGTCCTGCTTGCTCTCTCGGCGTGCGAGAGGCGGCCTTAATGAAGATGCAAATCATTTCACCGCAGCCGAGAGTTGGTGGAGAGCCGTGAGGTCACCCCCCGAGTTGGCCTGGCGGGGGCTGCCTCGTAGCACCCCCGGCCGCTCGGGCCGCCGTTCAGTCGTCGAGTGCACCCCTCCTCGGCGTCCAGTCGGTGCCGCTGCGGTCCTCACTCTCACCGGGCTTTTGTGGGGCGCCGGTGCCGGCAGCTGTGGGTGATTGTGGATGTCCGTCTGCACCCCCTTTTCTTCGCTTAAAACCGCAGAAACTTACTTCGTTCCGGAGGCCGGCAGTCCAACATCCAGGTGTCAGGCCAGGCCGGAGGCTGCAGGGCCCCGCGCCCCCCGAAAGGCCCGGACACCCTGGACCAGGCCTGCCCCCTGCAGTGCAGCCCCAGGCTGCATGTCGGTCCCTCCGCACACCCCTGCACCATCGCCGCGGCAACAGCCCCCCACGGCCACACTTTTCCAGAATTGCTTTAGATGCTTCTGAGTTTTTACCTTTCACCTTGAATTTGAGCGGGCGCTTACATTACTGACTCAAGACGTCAGCTCCTCCCTAAGGGGTGGGCTCTGTGCTGCGAGGTGCCCCTTGGCCCAGTCCCGGCCTCGCCCACAGATTCTGTGGGGTGCACTCACCCGGCCGCCTGCTGCAGTGAGTGCTGGGACTTCCAGTTCGGTCCCCTTGTGGCTGGAGAGCTCACCATGTGGTGGGGATTCTTCTAAACATGCTGGGTTTGTTTGGTGGCCACAGGAAGCTTGGTGCTCGGTCAGACACGTCCGGTCCACTTCCGCGGAGAGCTGGAGCGCGGCCAGGCTGCCGACGCCATCTCTGGTGCCGGCCCCGGGCTCCCCAGGGCGGCCGCACTCTCGGGGGGCACCTGGGCGCATGTCGAAGGCTCAGCTCTTCCTTCCTGGTGACTAACCTGATCGAGGGTCACTCCGGGTGCCTGCCAGTCCACGCCTCCCCATGCGGAGCCACCGCCCGGGTCTCAGCACAACGTAAATCACATCCCTGTTCGTGCAGAAGCATCCGTGTGAACACAGGGTCGGCGTGTTGCTGGGGAATCATCGCAGACACGCCGCACGAGGGCGGGACCCTCGGGTCAGATGGCAGGGATGCCGGGCGGGCGCACGGAGGGCCGCTGCGTCTGGAGAGCTGGGGGCATGTCTTACCACGGCCTGAGGAGCCAGACATGGGGGAGGGGGTGGGGGGGATCCTGTGACTCAGACACACACGTCGGAGAAGCATTTTGTCTTGTCGTAAACTAGGACCGAGTCTGTGAATCACACACGATTACTAAATTGGCTCAAAATAACCGGGTTTTCCTGAAAACATGACGAATGTGAAAACAACCCGGTAAACATCATGAGAGAAACTCCGTCCGTGGTGGGAGCGAGCGCCGCCCCAGCGCCCGTGCAGCAGCCTCCCCCAACGGCGGCCGGCACCGGAGCTCAAGGCCTATCTGGGTTCCGGAGGCTGGAAGTCCGAGGTCCGGGCATCGCCAGGGTGGGGCCCTTCCCGGCCGGGAGGAAGACTCTGCCCCATCTGCCCCGGCCCCCCTGGCCTGCTGGCCGCTCTTGGCCTCCTCGGCCCGTGGGAGAAGCAGCATGTGTCTTCCTGTGGCCGTCTCCCTGTGAGCCTCCAAATTCCCCCTCTTCTCAGCACTCGGGCCCTGCTGGACCAGGGCCCACCCTGGTGACCTCATTCCCACTTGACCGGCTCTGCGAGGGCCGTGTCTCCAAATAAGGCCACGCTCCGAGGCACTGGGGGGGACCTCGGCGTCAGAGTTTAGGGGACACAGTGGAACCCATAACCACCCCTGCTGGACCGTGTTGGACGGAGTTGGGTGCAGGAGTGAGGAGTTTTAATTTCTCTAAGACTCTTTCAGAAGGAAAGGGGTCTTTCTGTTTGTTCCCAGAGACTTTCATTCTTGCTACATGTTTTCATTTTAACTGGAGCTGGAGGAGGAGGAGGTGCAGGGCAGGCGTCTGTGCATGGCTTTGTCCCGAGCGCGTGGGCCCAGGGTCCGAGCCCCCCGCTGGCTCTGCCTGAGGGCGGACCCCGCGGGGCCAGCGGGCAGCTCAGCCTCTGGCCGCGCATCGTGAGCTCCGGGCTGGCCTGGGCAGTGCATTCAGGTCCTTGCTGTGTCTCCAAAAACTCACCAGCTGTTTTGCCAGCGCCCGTTTAACCGCCCCCGCCCCCAAACGCCTGGTCAGGAGGAGGCTGAGATGTGCAGGTTAGCCTCACTGGCCCTCCACCTGCTGCACGGCCGCGCCGAGAAAACACTTCGCATGCGTGGGCGGCGAGCATGCGCCGTCGGGCTGACGCTGCCCACGGTGGAGTCCCCGAGCGCATGCGCGGCAGCCCGGGTTCGCCATTGCTCCTCGGCTCGGACTGGAGGTTTTCCCGGGGCCGCGGGGGGAGGGCAGTTGGGGTGGTCGTCGTCCCCCAGAACGGCTGCTTCCTCAGACCCGCGCGGTGGGGTGGCGTCGCCCTGCGGTTCCGGCGAAGACCCCGGTCTCGGGCGGCCTCAGCCGGACGCGGTTCTTCCCATCGTGGCCCCGTGGCTCGGACGCGTCCTCGCCGCTCTGAGACCGCGCGGCCGCGGCCGCGGCTGCGGCTGCGCAGGTGGGCGGGGACGCCTCTCTCACTTCCCGTCTCGTGCCCCCGCAGGGACCTCCGCTTCAACCGGATCCGAGAGATCCAGCCCGGAGCGTTCCGGAAGCTGAGGAACCTGAACACGCTGTGAGTGCGCATGCCCGCTCGGCGACGCCCGGCCGAGTGCGGAGCCCGGGGGTGGGGGGGGGGCATGGCGTTCCCCACGGCCCCGGGGACGGGCCGCGGTGGCTGCGCTCTGACCCCCGGACCCTCCCCCGCAGGCTGCTGAACAACAACCAGATCCGGAGCATCCCCGGCGGGGCCTTCGAGGACCTGGAGAACCTGAAGTATCTGTAAGTGCGCCGCCCTCGGCGCTCTGCCGCCGGCTCGCGGGGTCGGTGCCTGGGCCGCGCGGCCACCAGGTCCGTTCTGTCCCGGTTCGCCAGCGACGGTAGAAACGCCCCTTTGAAAGGGGCTCCATGCCCAGTAGGTGGGCCCGGCGCTGGCCTGGGTTCTGGCGAGAGCTGGGCCAGGCTCGCCCGCGGAGCCCCAAGCACAGGCGGCCGAGGGGCGTTCAAAGCCGCCGGAGGAAACCGTTCTGGACGCCGTGACGCCCCCTGCTGGGCCGGGGCCGCGGGTGCAGTCCGTCGCCGTGTGCGCCAGTGACGGGGTCTGATTGGCTCGGGCGCTTCGTGGGGGGGCGGGGCTCCGGCGGCCTTTCCGGCGGGAAACTCGAGATGCGCCGCCCGCCCCCCTGCACGTGGTCGCTCCGCCGCGGCTGACCCCCCTCCGTGACTTCGCCTCTTCCTGGTGTGCCGTGGCTAAATTTTATCTGACTCTTGAAACTGGATTGTGAGTAATTGATTTATCAGCATTGGAATCCTCTGCCTGTGGGAGTGAGTTTTGCGGTTTGGGGAGGGACCTCCCCGAGAAGCTGTGTCTTCCTGCCTCGGGGGGGGGGCACTAACCGTGCAACCGCGCCGGAGAGAAGGGGGTCAGGGTGGGGGGGGAGAGAGGGGGGGGGAGAGGGCGAGAGCGCCGCCCTGCAGGGCACGCGCTCAGGGCCCGGCCGGCAGGAGTGCGTGCCGTGTGCCGCCTGTGGGACTTAGACTCTCTCCGAGCAGAGCCGTTCTGTTGAGGGATTTACACCAGTGTTTTGTTTTGTTTTGTTTCATAGCTTTATGTCCCGGGTGTGAGCCGGAATCTTGAGGTCGGTCTTTACGCACAGTCCCGCTGCCGGTGCGGACGCGTTGTTGCTCAGAACCGGTCTGATCTCGAGCCAGTGGGTCTGACCGCAGGGCCGCCGGGGCGTCGGTGCACTGAGATGCGTCCTCCTCCTCCGTGAGGACGCGTGAGGGTGTCCCGTGCGACCGTTCTCTTTCGGCGCAGCGCGCTCCTCCTCAGTTCTGCGGGAGGGCCGCTCCGTCTCCCGCCCCCCGTGCGGGAATGGGGGGCAGGCCTCCTGTTTCTCTTCTTAGTTTTGTTTCTTTGCTTTGCTGCTGCTTTTTTGTAATTGTAACTTCTGAGCAAATACAGGAGCAAGCTTGGCTCTTGGTGCCCAGACTCAGTGGCGCACGGCCGGCCAGCGCTCACTGTGCGTGTTTAGCGTGTTTTCGTTGTATGTTCAGTTCGGTTTGAATTCCCTCAGAGCACCTCACTGTTCACTTGGCCCATCTAGGCGGCGATGAGGAGTTTGGGGCGCTTCACCTGCCCCTGCCCCTGCAGAGGGCCTCTTACAGCCCTCCACTGCCCCGCCCCCCAGCCCCCCTCCACCCCCTCTGCCGTCCACCCTCATGGGCTGGGCAAGTCCCGCGGCAGGTGCACTGGGAGTGGCAATGGGCACAGCAGAGCTCAGGAAAGGGTGGGCGTGGACCAGCTGAGCGGGGACAGGCGGCGAGCGGCCGGGGAGCTGGACGCCTCGAGGTCCAGCCGCTCCCAGGCCCCAGCCCCTCCCCCCAGCCCCTCGGCCCTGCAGAAGCCCGGGTTGGGGCCACGTGTCGGCCCAGCCCGAGCGTGCTCGCAGCGGCCGAGGGTCCCGTCTGCTGGAAGCCCGTTACTTCCTAACCTCTCCTAGCGACGGAACTCACTCTCGGGACAGTGGGGCGTCATCTTCGATTCACCACTAGAAGGCGACCGCTACCCACTTCTTCAGGAGACGCGTTAGGTTCCTTACCGACTCGCGTGCGCACTGGCTCCTTCCGTCCAGTGGTTCCGAGCGCTTTTCCCAGCAGCCCTTCGCACTCGCTTCCGAAGCCGCGAGCCAGCTGACGTTCTGCTTTGCAGCCCCCTCCGGGCCTCGCTCACATGCCGGGCCGCGCTCTGAGCTTCTCGGGGGCCTGTTCAGCTCCACGATGCGGGGAGGCACTGCCGTCCTCTCCGTGCTGCAAGGAGGAAACCCAGCCAGGAGGGTCGCTCTCGCGCTGCAGGCTGTGCGGCTACTGCGTGGCCATCGGGGTCAGCCCCACGGGCCGGACCAGGGAGCCGGGGGCCAGGCCTCTGTGGCGGGAACGGGACGGGCCCCGGGCGGGGACGTCTGACCAGTGTGCGTTCAGGCTTGTGGCCCACGGGGAGGCACGCTCGGCAGATTCACACCGGGTGGGGGCGGAGGGGACAGTGAAGGTGGCGGCACGGGCCCTGCACCAACACTGTCAGTCACAGTGCAGGGAGACCCCTGTCTTTTGGGAAACCAAGGGGGCAATGTCACTGGGGCCGGGGACAGTGTTGTCCTCTCGCTGGAATAGGTGGGGGAGTCAGAGGGGAAGCTCCTGCTGAGGCCAGAATGAGGAGGGGCTGGTGTGCTCCATCCCCCCCCCCCACCGTAGCACTGGGAAGCCCCCAGGGCAGATGTCCGAGTCCCGGACTCCCCAGGGACTCCTCAGGGCTCTCCAGGTTGGATTACAGATGCCCGAGGGCTGCGCTGGGAGCGAGTCCTGCTCAGACGGGTGGACAGGCCGCCCCATCCCCGTCGGGCCGTGCCGGGCCGGGTGGCTGGCGCCTGGCCCTGCTCTAACGCTCCCTGTTTCTTGTTTCAGCTATCTGTACAAGAATGAGATCCAGGCGATTGACAGGCAAGCCTTTCAGGGACTTTCCTCCCTAGAGCAACTGTAAGTGGCCCGCACGCGCCCTCTGCTTCTTCAGGCCCCGCGCCCCTCGCAGGGACGCCAACCGCTGGCTGTTGCATGACGCATGCTGTTCGCGGGGGGTGTCGGGAGTGCGTGCTCGCTGGCGGATGGGCCCCGCCCGCCCCATGTGGCTCCGAGGCCATCTGTCCGCCCCCTCCGTCCGTCGTGGGTTTTCCCAGTCTCCCCCGCTGTCCCCCCGCCCTGCGTTGGCAACACAGAACAGGAAGACCAGTGGGCCCGTGCCCCTGGTGCTGCAGTGTAAGGGAGACACAGACTTTCCAGCCCGTTTGAGCGAGTGCAGGTCCTTGGGGGAGAGAGTGGGGGCCGAGGGGGGCCGGCAGGCGGTGGTGCTCGTCCCGTTTCCTGTTTGGGAGTCTGCTGCTCTCTGCCGCTTCCTCCTTCACAAGTGATGTCATCGCCGGGGAGAGAACAGACTTTCCACTCGGCGTGTATGTGTGGGCCTCTGTTTGTCTGGCTGCACGGGAATTCCTGCTTTGCTGTGGAGTCAGCGTGTTTGTTTTTAAGCAGAGTTCCTGGTGAAAGGCGTTTTTCTGGTTGGTTTGCTTGGCCGGTCACCTCTCGGTCACTGAGTCGGCACCGTTCCGGAGAGCTCTGAGCTGCCGGAGTTTCACTGGCAGGGACGGGAGGCAGCTGGGCTGCGGCCACGTCAGGCCCCGCCCGGCGGCCTCGGCTGGGTCTGCGCGCGCCTGGCAGGGCCCGGAGGCGGCTCGGGGCAGAGCCGGCCGGGCTCTCCCAGAACCCGGGGCACTCGTGTTTCCCGAGAAGCACGTGTCCCATCCAGCAAGAGCCGCTGTCCCACGCTGGCGTGCGCGGCCTGGGCTCTGCTGGCACTCGGTCTGCAGGAGGTCGTGAGGCCTCTGCTTGCGGCGGGCGGGGTGGGGGTTGGGGAGCAGAGTTCCGGTCACCGCGGGAACATGGAAATATCTGGAAGACATCCAGGCGGAGGGAGAGGTTACCCAGGGGCCTGTTCTGGTGTGCAGTGTGCTCGCAGTGGAGCAGGGGCAGCGAGGTCCCTGGAGCAGAAACGACCGAGAACTGGGGCGCTCGTCCACCGCGTGGGGGCGAGCCGAGCTGCTCTGAAGGAAGGGGGAGGCAGCGGGTCGGCGTCCCGGGGGCCTGAGCAGGACTTCCTGGCGGCCATCCCGGAGGTGGGGGTGTCCCTGGGCCGGGTTCCCTGGAAACTGAGGTTAGGGCCGGGGGTCTGTGCCGCGGGGACTTCAGCCCCGTCTGGATCACCGAGCCTTGGGGTGGGGGTGGAGACCCGGACGGACGCCCACCCTCGGGGAGGCCCCAGGCGGGGACACGGGCATCCCCCCCAGAGCTCGGGTCAGGTGTCTCCCTGCGGTGTGTAGAGGGCTGTGGTCCGGGTGGGCACGTCTCCGCTGACCCCACCCCCATCCCGGGATGGGGGGCCCACACCCCCGTGAAGGGCGGCACTCGCCCCATCGGTGGGGGACACTGGAAGGGCCGAGCCCCTGGAGTGGGGGTCGGTGGGGCGCAGGGAGGGTAAGGCCCTGTGTGGGGGCCACCCGGGAGGCTGGGGCCATGGGCAGTGCACGTGCCTGGCCGCGGCTGGGAAGCGGGGGCTAGAGCTGGGGGCTCACTTCCCGTCGGTGGTCCCTGCCTCCCTCCGCCGTGGGCCGGCGTGGCTGGCGGCCCCATCTGCCCCCACCGTGGCAGCCCGGCTGTGACGGTTCTCAGCGTGTCCCGGGCAGGACTCCGCGTCCCGCCGACCGACCCTCCTCCTGCCCAGCCGTGGGTGCGGGACTAGAGCGCCCCCCCTCCCGTCCCCTCGGCCGGCTTCTCCTGGGTCCCCCGTCCTCCCTGCCCAGCTGGCCCCAGACCCCCCTGAGCATCACCGCCGAGCGTGTCTGTCCACGTGTCTGTGCCTGGCGTCTGCGCCCCGACCGCCCAGGCCCAGAGGCTGCTCCTGCTCTGGGAGATTCTCGCCCAACTCCAGCTCCCCGGGTGCCGCCGGGGGCGGGGCTGCAGGAGGCCTGAGGCCTGCCGGTGCCCGACTGTGGTCCGTCCTCACCCCACTTCTCAGAGACGCGGGGTCCCTTGTCGGTGGGTCATCCTGGAGAGCCGGCCGGGGGAGACCTGGGCACCAGGACGGGCACAGACGGCTGGCGTCTGGGGACCTTGGAGTCACGGAGATTTGGAGAAGTCCGAGTCTGCGATGATGGACGGAGGGTGGGCTCTGAGAAGGCTTCTGGTGTGCACTCTCGGGAGAGACCTGGCCTGCGGTGACCGTCACGCCCTCGGCGCCCCGCGTCTCTCGAGGAGGCCGATGTGTGAACTCATGCTCCATGTGGGGGACACGGGCCGAGACCCCTTCGCTGTGTGGGTGGAAGGGGCTCTTGGCAGATGCGCCCCACAGGGGACTCAAGGTGTTTTACTTCGAGGGGAAAAACCCACCGTTTTCAAAGTGAGAAGAGCAACGCTCAGGAACGTTAGAAGGAGACGCTGAAATGCAGGGACGGCCCCTCCGGACGGGCCGTCTGCGGGGACGTGGGAGGAAGTGCTCCCCTGGGGCTGGGGGGGGGCGGGCGCCCGCCCTGCATGGCTCCGCAGCCGCTTCTGTGACCGACGGCATGTGTGAACAGGCCCCCGAGCCCCTGCGTGCGCTAGAAGGTGTGGGCACACCCGCAGAGGTGCTCTGACCTGGGCCAGGCCGACTGTCTTCCTAGAAGGGCCCGGGCGTTTCGGAAGTGGGTCAGTGGGGCTGAGCGGCCGCCCGCCCCGTGCCAGGAGCCCGGCCAGGTGTCCGGGCCGCAGTGACCTGGTTCTCCCTCAAGGTCGTCAAGCCCGGGCCCGCTGCCACTCGTGCCCGACTGTCTCTCTGGTCGTTTGGTGGTGACCTCGCAGCATGGAGACCCCAGAGTCCCCTGCTGGCTTGTGCGTGTGCGTTTGAAGTGGCTTTAGAAAAAAGCTCTGAGCCGAGAATCTAGACCCGTGAAACGTAACAGTTGAAATCACTGACGGTGCTTCTCTCTTTCTGTTCTTAACCTTCCCAGGTACCTGCACTTCAACCAGATAGAAACCCTGGACCCCGAGTCCTTCCGGCACTTGCCGAAGCTGGAGAGGCTGTGAGTCTGGCTCTGCTCCTGCCCTTGACCGCCTTCCCGGCCGGTCTGGTGGGAGGGTCGCGGTCGCTGTCTGTCGGGAACCCCGGCGGCGGTCTCACTGCCATGTCTGTGCCCCTCGCCCAGCGAGTCAGCCGCCAGGGTTCCAATGTCCTCCACGCCTGGGAAGGGGGACGGGGCAAGCCAGCACCCCCGCCTTCCCTGCCTGGGCCCCTACCCTCGTCGCTCGGCGGCTGTGCTCGCTCCTGCGCGTCCGGGGCACCGGCTTCCAGCTCGTTCTCCTGTTGTCTTGTCACCAGGTTCCTGCACAACAACCGCATCACACACTTGGTCCCAGGGACGTTCAACCACTTGGAGTCCATGAAGAGACTGTGAGTGTGGCCGCTGCGCGCCGGTCCTCCCCCGGGGGGGCCTGTGTGTCTGGCTCACCGCTCTGCCTGCAGGTGGGGGCCCCGTCCCTCAGAGGGGCTGCCTGGTCCGAGGGGGCCCGGCGTGTGCTGGGGTATTGGTGCCCGCTGCTCCCCACAGCCTCCCCCACCCCTTGAGGGTCAGGGGACAGGGTTGGGAGGGATGTTCTGTCTGCACCCAGCCCCGCAGACACCACCATGGGGGGTCACCAGAGAAACGACCACTCGGGTCCTGGGAAAGGCAGGTGGCAGGGGTCCCGGCCGCAGTCTCCCCAGGCCTGGGCCTGCCGTGTGGACTCGGAGGGTGCCGATCTCAGCTCCCCGCACGGGACTCCCCACTGCTCGGCCCTGGGCCAGGACAGAGGCAGCACCTGCCCCAGCAGGTCTCCCCTCGAGCCCCTCCCGCCAGCCAGCCAGCCACCCCTGCTCTGTAAGGAGGGGCCGCCCTCACAGCCGTGGTGCCCAGGCCCCTGCCTGGCAGTGACTCTCACCAACCGCCATGCGGCATAGCCAGGGGTCTTGTGGGCGGTGGGGCCCCACGGGGGTGGCACTGCTGTGGGTGGAGGTGCTACACCCCCTCGGCAACCATCGGGAACAGGGCAGCTTTGGAAATGAACCCCACGTGGGTCACATCCGCAGTTGGGGCGTCCCAGGGTCGCTAGGGTCACGCGGGGCGGCGTGCACTGGCAGCGCCACCGTGCGGCGGCTCAGGGTTGGTGACGGTCCGGCGGGCCCGCCCCTCACAGGCGCCTGGACTCGAACGCCCTGCACTGCGACTGCGAGACCCTCTGGCTGGCGGACCTGCTGCAGACGTACGCCCGTTCCGGGAACGCGCAGGCCGCCGCCACCTGTGAGCACCCGCGCCGCCTGCAGGGCCGGTCAGTGGCCACCATCACGCCAGAGGAGCTGGACTGTGGTGAGTGCGCCTGGGGCCGGCCTGACGAGGCACCCCACCCCCATCCCCCACCCCCCACCGTGCGGAGCCCTGCACTGGGCATCTGGGAGGCGCTGGCCGCGTGGCTCCTGGGCTGGGGTGTCCTCCTGTGCCCCAAAAGGTTAGGGCTCGATCCTGGCGGGGGGTGGGGGCACATACGGGGTGGGGGGCAGCCGAGTGAAGTTTCTATCTCCCTCCCTCTCTCTCTAAAATCGAGGAATATACCCTCGGTTGGGGATTTAAAAAAGCTATCTGTTAGTAAACTTGGGCTTTATGTTGAGGTTCTCCACAAAAAATGAATCTCCGCCATCGCCCAAGTGGCTCCCTGTCAGGCAGCTGCGTGGGAAGGGCCCGGGGCGGCGCCGTCTGGGTGCCCGATCGCCTCCCCGACCACTGAGGGGGGCACAGAGCCAGACCGGACGGCGGGGCGAGCCCCCCTCCCACACTCCGGAGGGGCTCAGCCTCTCCTTCCCACTCCGGCCCTCTCTGTGAAGCTGAAGCCTGTCTTTCCGTTCTTCCTTCACAACAACATCCTCACTTTTACACGTTAAAGGCAAACAGTGAAAATTAAGAACCAGTGCGGACACTGAGCCCAGGTCTGGCTGCTCGAAAGCCAATAATCAAGACGGGGCCGGCGAGGGGAGAGCCAGTCCGCTCGGTTCCCGCCACTGAGGAGACAGGGGGCTCCCCTCCCAGCGCCCACCTCCCCCCATCACGGCGCATGGAGGGCTTGAAAGTCCCTGTGGCCCGAGGAGCACAGTGCATCCCAAGGAGGACCTCGAACTGGCCCAGCGGGCGTCTGGGGGTCTGTCGGCCAGCCTCCCGGGGCCGGGGCGCCCGAAGGCGTCTATTTCTGCGGTCGGTCCCCGGAGTGCTCACACACGCTTGCTGTGTGTCCTCAAGATGCACACGAGTCCTGGCAGCGGCTGCAGGAAGAATGTGGAAGGGGTGGGCGGGTTGCATTTCGATCCATAAATAACCTTGCCGATGAGGTCACCACACTCCTCCCGCTCCGCCGTCCTTCCTGCTGCCCCGCCTGCCCGGCCGGCTCGCTGCCCTCAGGGCTGCGCTGGCTGGACAGGTGTGGTTCTCTGCTCCATCCCCACTGGAAACAGCTGTGCGGGGAGTGTGCACTCCGCACGGGGTCCGGCGCCCCGCAGTCCGGGGACCACTGGGGACCCTCTGACTCCAGGAGACTCGCCCCGTGTATGAGGCGGTCTCTCTGAGGGGAGGCCTGCCAGCCCCCTCGTGGGCATGCGTGTGGCTGAGACGCAGCGGGGACCCCTGATGGGCTCTCGGAGCGGATGGTCTGCTCGGGGTCTGGGTCCCCTCGGCGCCTGAGCCCCAGAAGGCCCCGTTCCTCGTTGGCACAGAGAGGCCCCGGATCACGTCTGAGCCCCAGGATGCCGACGTCACCTCGGGGAACACCGTGTTCTTCACCTGCAGAGCCGAGGGCAACCCCAAACCCGAGATCATCTGGCTGCGGAACAAGTAAGCGCGGGGTCGGACCGGCTGCTGCTGGTGGGCGGAGCCCGGGGTCTCTGCCCGCCCCCGCCCCCGCCCCGCAGCTGGGCCCAGGCCCTGTCCCTGCGTCGGTTCTGCTGCGAGTCGGTTCTGCTGCGAGTCGGCAGTGCGGCCGGGGCACGTGGCTGCCCTCGTGGGTGAGCCGGCCTGGCTACGCCGGCAGCAGCTTCCCCCACACTCTTCAGGCCAGGGTTTTGACCGGGCAGGCGCCCATCACCCTGCCCTTGGTCAGGGACGGGGGGCCCTGGTTCTCTGCCCACATGCTCTCCCTGGCCGGAGGCTGGGGTGTGTTCTGGGGGCTTTGCCCCTGGAGCATGGGGACCAGCCCTCACCAGATAGGGGTCCGGCTGCTGGGAGGGAGACCCTGGGAGCCTCGCTCAGGGGAGCACGGGCACGGAGCCCCTGCCTGTGTCCGGCTTTTCCCGGACACTTGGTCTCTCCGTGCTCCCCAGGCACCAGGGCGGGGAGCAGAGGGGTGGGGTGGCCTGGGCGGTGGGTCCAGCGTCTTCAGGGCCCATGGAGCCCACGAGGGTCTCGGGAACCGAGTCCTCAGACAGAAATCCGCATGGGGCCTGGCCACCGTCCCCTCCCATGATCCCTTGCACGGGGCCCGTGGCTCCGCCCACTCGGGAGCAGAGCCCCGGCAGCCATCTGGGCTCCGAGTCTCCGCTTCCAGCTCCCGGCCGAGCGCAGCAGTGACCCCGCAGGGAGGCCTGGGCGGACACGGGGCGCAGACGCCCACCCACCCTGCGCCCCCCGGCCCGGCCGGACCCCGGGAGTGCGGCTCCTGAGCGCGCAGGGTCTGCAGGGAAGGACGGGCGGGCGGGGCGAGTCGGCCCCAGGGGCCCTCGGGTGCAGAGCGTGGGGGTGCACTCGGCCCGAGGACGTGCGGGCGGCTCTGCACCTGGACCGGTGGTCACCGCTGGGCCGGCGGCCGGGGCGCTGGTGGCGGGGAGGTCGGGAGACGTAAAGTCGGGGTGCGCGGCGCAGGAGCCCCCCGGTCTGGAAGCGTGGAGCCGGTGGGGGGAGAAGAGGGAGCGGGGCTCAGCCCTTCCCGTCCCCGCTTGTGGGCGAACGGACTGGCACTGAGAGCGGACACCGCAGAGCCAGGCCTGCCGCCCGTGCCCTCCACCTGTGCGGGCGCCCCACCTGGGCGCCGGCGCTCCCCGTGGGCGCGCTTCCTGCCGGGGCTTGCCCCACCTGAGGGCCTGTCTCACCTGCGCGCCAGCCCCACCTGAGGGCCGGCCTCGCCGGCTGGCTCAGGGATATGTGGGAGGGACCGGGCCACGTCAGCGTCTCATTTATTTACGGGGCCCGTGGTGACAGTCCCCCGTGGGACTGAGACGTGGCGACAGCTGGCACAGCTGTGAGCCAGCGCGGAGCTCGCTCTGGGGCTGCCGCAGGGAGACAGAGTGTGAGGCAGGGGCAAGGGCCAGGCCGCCTGTTGGGCTCCGAGCCTGTGGGGGGTGCCCTGGGCCTCCGGCGGGGACCCCAGGGAGGCGCTCCCAGGCCACAGTGTCTCTGCTCCCTCGGTTCCCGGAGTCTTGTGCTCTAGTAACGAGGTTTCTGTCTGTCGAGTGGAACGGGTTGGGCAGAAACAAAGGAAAAGTGTTAAACGTCTGTTTGTTTCTTGTTCCTTTGGAATGAGAAGGAGTTCTCAGTGTTTCCGGGTTGCCCCTGGGAGGGATAAACAGATGGTAGGCTCAGTGGACACCGGCACTTGCCCCAGGAGCCCCGGCTCAGTCAGGGCTCGCTGGGCGGGCGGGTGGGCCCCTCGGGCACAGGCAGCCTCTCCAGCCGGGCGCCCACCGTCTGTCCCCGCAGCAACGAGCTGAGCATGGGGACGGACTCGCGCCTGAACCTGCTGGACGACGGGACCCTGATGATCCGAGACACGCAGGAGGCGGACCAGGGCGTGTACCAGTGCATGGCCAAGAACGCGGCCGGGGAGGTGAAGACGCAGGAGGTGACCCTCCGCTACTTCGGGGCTCCAGGTGCGTGGAGCGTGCATGCGAGAGCGTCCTCCCCGGTGGGCAGCGTCCTCCTCCCCCCGCCGCCCCCGCCCTGCGGCGGGAACGGACACTGCAGCCCCGGGCCCAGCTCCTGGAGCAGGGCGGCCCCCTGGCCTTTGACTCGCAGGGTCCTGGATTGTCCTGACCTTTGTGCCGGCCCCGCCGGCCCCCAATCCGGGACAGACCCTTGGAGTGGACCAACCAGCAGCCGTCCACCTGCAGGGCCCCTGCGAGACATCACTCCCGCGCCCCACCCCCACCCCCAACCCCTGCCATCACGCTGGTCTGAAGGCCCAGGTGCCGGTAGTTCCCATCTGGCAGGGGGCTCTTTGCTGTGCTAAGAGTTTGGTTATTGGGAAAAGCCAAAATCTGGACTTGGATGTAAAATCCCACGTGCAAAGCGTTGGTGCCTGATTTGCACACACACTGTCCCGGCAGCGAGGCCCAGCTGTGGCCCAGGCCGGTGCCCGCCCTGCCGGGCTGCAGACCCGCTCTGCCGCCACCTCTGATCTGAGAGCCTCTGTGGGGAGAGGCCTGGCCCCGGGGGGAGAGCCCAGCGCGGACCTGAGCCGCCGCCTCTGCTGCAGACGACACACGTGCCGGCACGGCTGCTGTCACGCCATAGCCCCCGTGGCCACCCGTGTCGCCCGCCACCCCGGGCTTCCTCTGCAGACCCGTGGGGCCCGGGCTCTCCCCTCGAGTGTGCGGCCAGGCCCAGGCGGCCGTGGGAGTGATCCCTGCGGGTTTCTCTGCGGAGCGTCTCCGCCCTTCGCACCTGGCGTGGCATTCTGCACGGCACATCCCGGCACACACAGTCGGCTCTTAACCAGGGAGGTTAAGGTTCTTAACCAGTGCCCAGTCCCAGCGGGAAGGGCGGCGGAGGGGCACGCTGCTGCAGAAGCACAGCCCCTGTCAGGCCCCCCACGCGTCCTGGGGACGAGGCACCAGCAGCCCCACCTGCAGGCCCAGAGGGGCCCTCAGACAGCGTGTGGGGTGAGGGCACCGAGGACCCTGTGCAGAGCAGAGGGCAGGAACAGAACGTCGAGAACAGGCCCAGCCAGGCCAGCCGGCCGCGTGACTCCCAGACGGGGTGTCCAGCCGTCTCTCTGGGAAGTCTTGCTCCCCCGCCACCCAGAAGGGCGGCCTGACTGAGGGGCCCACAGTGAGCGTGTCGGTCTGGCTGCCCGCCACGCGCACGGAGGGCCTCCCACGGCCCATGACGATTCCACACAGGGAGGGGCGGGCGTGTGGCCGCCAGTCCCTGGACCGGGGCTGGCTGGGCCCCTGCCTGTTTCCCTGAAAGCCTGGGGACTCAGAATGGTGTTACACTTTTACAGGACTGGAAAACCCAAGGGTTTTAGGACACATGGTAATTATCTGAAATTCAGACTTCGGTGTCTACAAATTAAGTTTTATTGGAACATAACCACAGCCTTGCACAAGCCGTCTGTGGCTGGGGTCTGTGGCTGGGGTTTGCGGCCAAGCGCAGCCGAGTGGTGGTGAAGCGCAGCCGGGTGCTCTCGGGCCCTGGGGGGGTGGGGAGGCCCGCCCGCCCGGCTCCCCCTTGCGGTGACGGCTCGTGACCACAGCGGCGGCCGGGCTTGCCGGCCGTGGGCATCACCAGCCGCTAAATATACTTTGTACATTTTGAAGCTCTGTTATTAGGGGCATTTAAGTTTGTCATTTGTAGCTTCCTTCTGGATTTGACTTCGATCACTGATGCTTCAGCCTGTTGCTGCTTTTTGCCCTAAAGTTAATTTGGCTGCAGGCAGACCCCACCTGCTCCCCCGCCCACACTTTGCCCCGAGCCACTTGCTGGCTCGCATCCGGGTGTCGGTCGTGAGCAGCGTGGAGCTCGACTGAGACGAAAACTCAGGTGGACGTTTCTCACAGTGAGTCCACCTGCGTTCGGTGCAGGTGGCAGGATATGCAGACTTGCAAATTCCACGTCTCCTTTTGGAGTACTCTGACTTTCTCTCTGTTCCTGGCCTTATTTTGGAGTAACGGTTTTTCATCTTCCTCTCCCGAGTTCTAGTTCAGAAGGCACACTTTACTTGTCTTTCAGTGGCTCTTCCAGAAAGAGTCAAATGCATTTCCAAACCGCAGTCTGTCGCTGCTGTCCCAGCCTCTGTCTCCAGCGCACGAACACCCCTCGGCGTCTCAGCCCCTGATCGGCGACACCGCTGATCCTCGGCTCTCCCTGTCGGTCCTGCCGCTGCCCTGGTGTCGGTCACTTCAGGTTCCCTCTTTCCCCTGCACCTCAGCTCTGGCTCTGGGGTCACTGACTTGCCGCCCAGCGTGGGGCGAATGGGGGAGCCCACCCGGGTGAGGACCAGCTGGCGTGATGAAGCCCCCAGTGAGGTTCCTTTCTCCCCTCTCCTCAGCGCCGCTGCCTGCCTGCCTGCCTGGGGGTGGGGGCCGACTTCCCCTCTCGTCCCTCCCCGGGCTGGAGTGCAGCGCTTCGGGGACCCAGCCGTGGGGGGTCTCCAGCGGGCTCTCCCCCGTCTGACCTTCGTGTCTCGTGAGGACGATGGAAGTACGGGGCTCCACAGGAGCCCTCAGGGTGCATCTGGCTCTGGCGACCTCGGCCCCCTATTCTCTGGGGACACCAGGGTCCTCTCTGTGCTTTCTGTCGTGTGCTGTCACTTGGGTGCTCGGCTGATAAGACATGAACCTAAAAACTTGTAGAACGGTCTCTCTCCTGTCTCTTCCCTGCCCCCTGCCCCCTGCTTGGTTCCTGCGTCCACCCCTACATCCCCTGGGCTGCTGATTCCTCTTCCTTCCTCGCCCTCCTGGAAACCCGGCAGCGCTGCCACCTGTCTCCTGAGGCCTTTCCTTTCAGTGCGCAAGGCTCACTCTCTTCCCCTTTAAGGCCCCATCAGACCCCGTTGTCCGGTGTGACATCATCCGGTCAGCGAGTTCCCTTTTGGAGAGCACTTAGGTTTTCCCCCAGATCTTGTGCTGTCACAGGCCCTTGCCCCCTTGCCCCGAACCCCTCAGGCCACGTGCTGTTTGAAATTAGAGAGTTTGGGAACTTTTCCAGAAAGGCCACATCAACACGTCGATGTCCTGTAGCGAACAGTGTGAGCATTCACAGCAGAGAACGGGGACCCTGAGTGGCCTCAGCTTTCACAAACAAGCTGTGGAAAAACAGCTCGTGTCTGTAGCTTTCTGGATCCCAGGGTGACGGGGGAGGGTGTTGGCCCGAAGAAATAACACAGCAATTCAATGACACCTACTGTGCCAATGTCACTTTTCCTGCTCGCAAACCGTTCATGGGGTGAGGTCCCAGCGGGTGGTTCCGGGCAGAGGGTGTCTGGGTTCTCGGTTCTGGCATCTGCGGCCACGTGACCCTCTGGGGGGGCGTGGCACTTACACTGTTGCTGAGTGGGAGGTGTCTCTGCACAAGTTCATTCATGAAACACACTAATGAGTGTGTGTACTTTTTCCTACATTTAGAGTTGGAAGATAATCTCAGTGTAGTTTTAGTTCGTAGGTGAAATTTATTTTTTTAAGATTTTATTTTTATTTTTTATTTTACTATTATTGTTTTTTTAATACTAAAAGGTTTTATTCTCAGGTTCTGTGAGTTGCAGTCCCCTTGCTGGAATTCTTTTCCCTTAATTGGAATAGGTACAGAAGAACCTAGGTTCTCAAAATTTCCAAATTCAAAGTTGATAAAAGAAAATTAAACCCTGTTTTGCATTTTTATTAAAATATTGTTAGAGGGGAAGGCAGGGAGGAGAGGGAGAGAAACACCAATGTGGGGCTGCCTCTTGCACACCCTGTACTGGGCCCCTGGCCCACAACCCAGGCGTGTGCCCTGACTGGGAATCGAACCAGCGACCCTTTGGTAGGCAGGCTGGTGCTCATTCCACTGAGCCACACCAGCCGGGGCAGAAATTCATTACTTTACCTGTTCCAAGTACACTTTAAAGCCGGTGCTTCACACCTGCGAGAACTGCCCGCGAGGTCGAACGGGACTGGCGTGACGTGCTGGGGGCTCCCTGCCTCCGTCCCCATCAAGGGAGAGAAGGGCTGTGGCCCGTCACCACGGTTGCCGGCCCCTCGTTGGCCTGAGGCAGGGGACTGTTTCTATTTTCTGGCGCAGTTCCCTAAACCACGGCCAAGACGGGAGAGTAGCCACTTCAACTGGCTTCACTCAGTGGGGAGGCCGACGGGGTCCTGAGCCGCCCGAAAGCAGAAGCGCGCACAGCCGCGGGGCCGAAGCGGAGGGCGGCGGCTCAGAGCCCGTGTCCCCCGCGCAGCCCGGCCCACCTTCGTGATCCAGCCGCAGAACACGGAGGTGCTGGTCGGCGAGAGCGTGACGCTGGAGTGCAGCGCCGCGGGCCACCCACTGCCGCGGATCTCCTGGACCAGGGGCGACCGCTCGCCCCTGCCCGCGGACCCCCGCGTGAGCACCACGCCCTCCGGCGGCCTCTTCATCCAGAACGTGGCGCAGGAGGACGGCGGCGAGTACACCTGCTTCGCCGCCAACAGCCTGGACAGCATCCACGCCACGGCCCTCATCATCGTCCAGGGTGAGCGCCGCCGGCACAGGGCCCCCCGCCCCCCACAGTCCCCCCCCAGGCCCCGGCACGCCTTCCGCCCAGCGCACAGCAGGGCAGGGTCCCCTCTGCACTTACCTGTCCCCGCCTGACGGTCCCGTGCGGTGGGAGCTGCAGGAGGACGGGGCTTTATTGTCCAGCTGCTGCCCATGCACCCGGAGCCCTGGCGTGGGTGAGCCGTGGGCTCGTATGTGGGTGGACACGTGTGTGTGCAGGGGCATCCATGTGCACGTGGCTGTGTCAGTGGGAAGTCTGCACACGTTTTCCGGAAACACTGCCCCTGGCCTCTGTGCACCTCCCCGACCCTCCACCCTCGGGTCCTCCTGATCGGCTCACGGCTCCTGCCCCCCACCTCGGGGGCCCCGTCACCTGGCGCCCCCCCCCACGGGAGGACGGACAGTGGCAGTGCCAGCGTGTGTGGCGTCCTCAGCGAAGCTGTCTCCTTCCTGTGTCTCCCCCTGCAGCCCTTCCCGAGTTCACGGTGACCCCTCAGGACAGAGCTGCGATCGAGGGCCAGACTGTGGACTTCCAGTGCGAGGCCAAGGGCTACCCTCAGCCTGTCATCGCGTGGACGAAAGGAGGTGCGGTGCCCACCAGGCCCCCGGCCCGCCGCCCTCTCCCTCCTTTGGGACATGAACCCCGAGACCAGCCCTGTCCCCCTTCGGCCCCAAACCCCCATCGTCTGGGCGGGGCCAGGGACAGACAGATGGACAGAGGGGTGTGCCTGCCCAGCCCCTGGCCACCGGCGCACGCGTGGGGGGAGGTCTGTCCCCGCTGAGGGGACGGGTGCCCGCGCCGTCTCCGCCCAGCAGTCTGGGTCGTGCCTGTAGCACCCACCCCGCTGGGACGGCATGAGCTTCAGGACGTGTGAGACGGGCTTGCTGGGAAACCAGCTGTGCAGGGTCTGGTTTTTAGAGCCTTCACTCTTGGCCCGGCTCCCAGAGCGGCACCGTCCCCCCATCCCGGGTGGAGAGTTGCTCACGTTAATTCTCGGTGCGGCGCGGCCCAGCCCTCGGTGTCCCGCTGCTGGGGGGCCAGCCCCCCCGCCCTTGCAGAGCCGCAGACCCCGTCCGGGGCGACGGCGGCCTGCCTGCCTGTGAGGGTGCAGGTACGGGAGGGCCGGCGGCACCTGTGGACCTTCAGGGGCCCGTCCTGGGCCCCAGCTGGGCTGGGAACGAGCTGCTGGCCTCCACGTCCATCTCCTCGTCCCCTGAGGGGACCTTCTGGGGATTCTCTGGACCTCCCTGCTCCCGGCCCGGCCCGGCCCTGGGGACGTGCGGGGACCCTGTTGGGGCTGTGCTCTGCCTCCGCGCATCTCCAGCCCCCTGCCCTCCTCACTCCTGCTTTACGCAGCTCTTGTCTCTGTCCCCCACCCTCCTGGGGCTTCCGTGGGGACAGGGAGCATGCTCTGCTCGTCCCTGGCCTGGCTGCACACGGCCGTGTAACTGGCGTCTGCTGGTCCAGGAACCGCTTCCTGACCCCGGGCCCTAAGCGGCTGAGACAAGTTTCTGGGACCTCTCGTTTCCCCAGACGAAGTTCCGTTGGACCCCTGGACCCGAGTGTCGCCCGCCCCCCCACCACCCCCGAGTCCCTGGGGCTGACACCGCCCGTTCCCCCCCCCCGCCCCCGCAGGGAGCCAGCTGTCTGTGGACCGGCGGCACCTGGTGCTGTCGTCGGGCACGCTGCGGATCTCGGGCGTCGCCCTGCACGACCAGGGCCAGTATGAGTGCCAGGCTGTCAACATCATCGGCTCCCAGAGGGTTGTGGCCCACCTGACGGTCCAGCCCCGAGGTAGGTGGGGCCGGGGTGGGGGCTGGGGGCACGTGGGCTGCGTGCTGGGAGGGCTGTGCCCGGGCTTGTGTCGGGGCTAACGGCCGAGAGCCAACCCCCCGACTCGAGTGACTGTCCCTGTCCGCCTGTTCGTGAGGCGACGATGCCGTGACTCGCTGCGTCTCGCGTGTTAGTCTGCGATGGCGTTCACTTCTAACGATGCGCGTCCTGGACTCTGATGTGCCGACATGGTGTCACTGGCTGATGGTGCCACTCTATAGCGGGTCCCTTGGGAGCCACCTTTCCTGGGTCACTGGAGCAGCCCTGGGTCCATTGGCCCCGGGTCGTGCCCTGCAGGCTGGCTCTGTTTCCTGGTGGTCCCCCGAGCATTTCGAGGTCCCTGTGTCCCCTGCTCCAAAGGGCCGGTTCCCCTGCATCTCTAGAAAGACTCAGGGCAGATGCCTGCGGGTGCTGAGGCTGTGGAGCGGACATGCAGAGCCAACCGGCAGGGGCAGAGTGTGGGGTGGGTCGGGGTCTCCCCCAAGGGCGTGGCTGCCTCCAAGCTGCGGGTTCACCCCCATCGGCCCTGACTGGCCAGGACTCCGGGCAGCCTACTGGGTGAGACCTGGTGGAAGGGTCCCTCAAAGACCTCCAGGCCCCTTGAGAAAGGCCCTCTCTGGGCCATGGCTCCTTCCCAGTCACCAAGGCCTCGCGTCCTGGGGGCACTGGCCCTTCGGCTCCAGGCTCGGCAGACGGGAGCTCCTTCAGGCCTGCGGCCTGCCTGTGGGCAAGGCGCCCTGTAGCCCCTTCCGGCAGCTTCCCTCTGTGCAGACGCTACTGCGGGGAGATAGGCCGCCCGGCCGAGAAGCTCAGCGCCCTGGGCCTGCCGTGACGAGGGTAGGGGCCTGGGGTCCCCACGACTGTCAGTGGCGCGTCCCTTGTCTTCCAGTCACACCGGTGTTCAGCAGCATCCCCGGCGACCAGACGGTGGAGGTGGGCACCAGTGTGCAGCTGCCCTGCAGCTCTCAGGGGGAGCCAGAGCCAGCCATCACCTGGAACAAGGTGCCCTCTGCGGCCAGGGACACATGGGCAGGGCGGTGGGTCACATGGGGACACAGTGGGACACGGGTGTCACCACCGCCTTCCCTGGCCTCCGCAGACCTCCCACAGCAGCGGGGACACCAGGCTGGGGGCCAGAGTTAAAGCCTTTGCTGGTGTCCTCAGTGTAGGAACGCCACGAGACCAACAGACGCGGAACGAACGGTCTCCTCACGCCCTCATGCTGACAGTAGCAAAAAAACCTTCCTGTCAGACCCCTAATCTTGTAATGAGTAGAGCAGGGTTCCGCTGTTGTGTTTTACTGTTGCTTCTATGAAGCCCCCCCCCCCATAAAAAACAGGAAGCAGAGGTCAAACCCACAGCCAGCGCCTTGGCACAAGGCGTCTCTGAGGACGGGTGACTGGTCTGGGACGAGACACCCTGTCCCCTGCAGCTTCCCCTCCGTGACCCGGAGGCCGCTGTGCCTCCCGGTGCGACTCGGGCGTCCCCTCTTCCCGGAGGCAGCGCCTGGTGCCTCCTCCCGCACGGGGGCCGTGTCCTGTTCCTGTGCCTTCTCCTGGGGGTCTCCTCCCTGGGGTGGCCCTCGGTCCCTTCCCCGACCCTGGGCAACCCCAGGAGTGTGGCTTCTTCCCGGCTCTGTCCTGGACCCGTGGCAGGCATGCGAGGAGGGCTGCCCCACGGACTCTGTGCCGGGTGGCCTGGATTGAATCTCCCCCTGGAGGTTCTGGGTAGACGGGAGCTCAGCCTCCTCCATGTTGCCGCCCGTGAGCCCCGATGAATGGGGACCCAGCCCCCAGACCACACGGCTGTGCTGCTCAGTCTCGTTCTTTCCCACCGTGACTCCCCCTCTGCTCTGCCCCAGGATGGGGTGCAGGTGACGGAAAGTGGGAAATTCCACATCAGCCCCGAGGGGTTCCTGACCATCCACGATGTGGGGACTGCCGACGCAGGCCGCTACGAGTGTGTGGCCCGGAACACCATTGGGCAGGCCTCGGTCAGCATGGTGCTCAGCGTGAGTGGTAAGGCTGCCGGGTCGCGGTGCCCCGCCTGGACAGCCTCCTCGGGGCCCGGGAGCCAGGCGCCGGAGGGAGGAAAGCAAGTCCAGGTCACGGGGGTCACTAGAGGGTGGTGCATCCACCCCCCTGGTTTGCAGGGGGGCCACTGGGGCACGGGGGAGCCACTGGGGCACGCTCGGCCGGCGGCAGGGCCAGCTGGGACCCAGGAGCCCCTCCTGCTCCCTGTGGTGCGGGGACCTGCAGGCCACCGTGCCCACCTGCCCAGCGGGGTTTCCCTGCATCCAGCCACCATACAGACCCCTCAAGCCTGACAACGTGCCACTCACCGTCACTGTTGAGCCAAAGTGTGGACCTGCCACTGCTTTGCAAGAGGCCCCACCCCCTCTGCCCTGCCTCCGGGCTGAGTGGGGCCGAGCACGTCCCTGGGGCGTGCCAGGTCCCAGTGTCCTCACCGTGAGCCTCCACGTGCACACCTCGACCCCACACGCGCTGTTTCAAAAGATGCACGATGGGCGGGAACGAGGTCGCTGAGTGTGAGGAGCTCTCGGTCCCGAACACTAAGGGAAAAGGGAAGAGGAAACTGGACGGGGAGCAGCCCCTGGGGCCACAGTTACGCCGTGTGTGATGGGTGTGAGCACGTGTGCATGTGAGCATGACGGCATCTGTGTCGTGATGCGTGGGAGGACGGTGGGGAGCCCAGGTGGGTGGGCCGAGCGGGCCGAGGTCCTGGCCGCACGAGAGCAGACAGAGCCCAAAGGGTGTCTGATGACCTCAGCAGCCACTGTGCCCAGCAGGCGGCCTGAGTGACCGCGTGGTCCCTGTGCCGTCACTGCTGGAGGTCACAGCTGTGTTTTCCTGTCCTTTAGGCATGCCGCCTGCCGGCACAAGTGAAAAGTCAGTGCTTTCCTTACGTTTGAAATCAGTGTCTGGTCGCTTGTCAGCCCGGGACCGGCTCCGTGTGGGAGACAGCAGCGCACTTGGTGGGGGAGGTGCCTCCGGCCCTGGTGATGTCGCATCTAGACGTGACGGGGGGCCGGTCCGGTCCCTCCAGCCAACGTGCGGCTCTGTCTCCTAGTCCCTGATGTCAGTCGGAACGGGGACCCGTTTGTGGCCACGTCCATTGTGGAAGCCATCGCGACCGTCGACAGGGCCATAAACTCCACGCGGACACACCTGTTTGACAGGTACTTCGGGCAGGCGGGGCTGGCCCAGCCCCGGGGCCCTGGGGTCCGGAGTGCAGGCCCTTCGGGTGCAGGCTGTGACCTGCTCCCTCCTCTGAAAACACGTTCAGTTCAGAAATCACCAGCCGGGCGGGCCCCCACTCCGAGGGTTAAAATAACAGGCACGTCCTTTCCAAGCAGAAACTGACCTATGATTCACAAATGAGACGCTTCTCAAAAACAGCAGCTCGTCCTTTCGCTGTGTTGCTCACTGACTTGGCAGAAACAAAGTGTCCCGCGAGCCCCTGGAGTGTGCACCCGTCTCGGCCGGCCGAGGCGGCTTCCCCGTGTCTGACCTGAAGTGCAGTGCCCCTGTTTCGCCACAGACCTGACTAACTTTGTTTTTAGTGTCTCTTGCTTCTGTTTGTTTTCTTGCCTTCCGCCCGGGATGAGCAAGGTACGGCCACCCCCCTCCCCCCCAGAGCGGTAGTGCCTGCCGTTCAGTGGCGGCTCTGACTTGGGAGGCGGGGACTTCCGTCTCAGTGACGGTTCCCTTCTTCCCTCTGCCCTGGCTGTCGTCAGCCGACCTCGCACCCCCAACGACCTGCTGGCCCTGTTCCGCTACCCGAGGGACCCCTACACCGTGGAGCAGGCGCGCGCGGGCGAGATATTCGAGCGGACGCTGCAGCTGATCCAGGAGCACGTGCGGCACGGCCTCATGGTGGACCTCAACGGAACGGGTCAGTGCCCAGTGCCGCCGCGCCCTGTGCCGGCCGGGCGGAGGAGTGGCCGCACCCGCAGCCCCAGCATCCCTACCCCACGCGTCTGTGAAGGGCACAGTCGGGGTGGCAGTGTGGGTCCTGTCAGCACCCCCTCGGGTCAGTGACGGTTGCAGAGTCTGTTGTGTGTCTCTGCAGCCCTGGAGGGCGGCGGCTGCTTGTGCTCCGTTTGGGCTCCGCCTGGTCCCTGCGGGGGGCGTGGCCTGGGGAGGTGGCCGGGACCGGTCCGAGGCCACTGCTGCGGACTAAGGGACGGGGCGGAAGAACGCCCCCAGGCCCAGGGGACCTACAGGCGGAAGCGGCTTTCTTGGACGTTCAAGACCGAGAATTTTGAGACGAACAAGACCGAGAATTTTGAGACGACACAGTAACCGTGAGCAGAGGCGGACTGGGCCGTCTCCCTGTTGCGTCCGGGAAGCGCGCACCGCCCGCCCGACCTTTCAGGACACGACGGACACGCCCCTCTGGGCGGCCGGGAGCCTGGCGCCACGCCCCCGGCACAGCGCGCATTTCCCATCTCTGCGCCTGTGGGACTTCTTCACCCCCAGGTCCCCACCGCCTCCGTGTGGGTGTTTCAGACACCGGCCCTGAAAAGGGGTCTTTCTGTGTCGGTCAGAAGTACGCAGAGTAGGTCTAAACCTGAGGAACTCGCTTTGGAGAGTGGATGCACTGATGACGGAGAACCTGGCAGCATGGCCTGCTGAGCGGAGGAGCGCATGCGCCCCTGCGAGCACGCGCGGGGGTGGAGCCTTCGGGTTTGGGACCGCCCCTGCGTGCGTGCGTGCGTGCTCCTGTGAGCGTGCTCGGGGGTGGCGCCCTTCTGCGGGCCCCGGAGCATGCTGGGTGATAGAGGCAGCGAGGCTTCAGCGAGGCGCTGCAGGGGAGGCTCCTCCGGGCACGGCTGGGAAGCCCCGGAGGGCCCAGGGCTGGTCTGCGTGACGTCCGGGGGACTTGAGCTCGTCCCTGTCCTCCCTGCAGGTTACCACTACAACGACCTGGTGTCTCCGCAGTACTTGAGCCTCATCGCCAACCTGTCGGGCTGCACGGCGCACCGGCGCGTGAACAACTGCTCCGACATGTGCTTCCACCAGAAGTACCGGACGCACGACGGCACCTGCAACAACCTGCAGCACCCCATGTGGGGCGCCTCACTGACCGCCTTCGAGCGCCTGCTGAAGGCCGTGTACGAGAACGGCTTCAACACCCCTCGGGGCGTGAACCCGGGCCGGCTGTACCACGGGCACGCGCTCCCCATGCCGCGCCTGGTGTCCACCACCCTGATCGGGACCGAGACCATCACGCCCGATGCGCAGTTCACCCACATGCTCATGCAGTGGGGCCAGTTCCTGGACCACGACCTGGACTCCACGGTGGTGGCCCTGAGCCAGGCCCGCTTCTCCGACGGGCAGCACTGCAGCTCGGTGTGCAGCAATGACCCCCCGTGCTTCTCGCTCGCCATCCCGCCCAACGACCCGCGCGTCAGGAACGGCGCGCGGTGCATGTTCTTCGTGCGCTCCAGCCCGGTGTGCGGCAGCGGCATGACCTCCCTGCTCATGAACTCCGTGTACCCTCGGGAGCAGATCAACCAGCTCACCTCCTACGTCGACGCCTCCAACGTGTACGGGAGCTCGGAGCACGAGGCACGCGCGGTGCGCGACCTGGCCAGCCAGCGCGGGCTGCTGCGGCAAGGCATCGCGCAGCGTTCCGGGAAGCCGCTGCTGCCCTTCGCTAGCGGGCCGCCCACCGAGTGCATGCGGGACGAGAGCGAGAGCCCCATCCCGTGCTTCCTGGCCGGCGACCACCGCGCCAACGAGCAGCTGGGCCTCACCAGTATGCACACGCTGTGGTTCCGCGAGCACAACCGCGTGGCGACCGAGCTGCTGGCGCTGAACCCGCACTGGGACGGCGACACCCTGTACCACGAGGCCCGGAAGATTGTGGGCGCGCAAGTGCAGCACATCACCTACCAGCACTGGCTCCCCAAGGTGCTGGGCGAGGTGGGCATGAAGATGCTGGGCGAGTACCACGGCTACGACCCGGGCGTCAACGCGGGCATCTTCAACGCCTTCGCCACCGCTGCCTTCCGCTTTGGCCACACGCTGATCAACCCCGTGCTCCAGCGGCTGGACGAGGACTTCCAGCCCGTCGCGCAGGGCCACGTGCCGCTGCACAAAGCCTTCTTCTCCCCGTTCCGCATCGTGAACGAGGGCGGCATCGACCCGCTGCTGCGGGGCCTGTTCGGGGCGCCCGGCAAGATGCGCGTGCCCTCGCAGCTGCTGAACACCGAGCTCACCGAGCGCCTCTTCTCCATGGCGCACACCGTGGCCCTGGACCTGGCGGCCATCAACATCCAGCGCGGGCGCGACCACGGCATCCCGCCCTACCACGACTACCGCGTCTACTGCAACCTGTCGTCCGCCCACACCTTCGAGGACCTGAAAAACGAGATAAAAAACCCTGAGATCCGGGAGAAGCTCAGACGGTGAGTTGGAGCCAGCTGGGTTTTACGTCTCCTGGGTAAATGTCAGTGCGGGTGCTGCCGTTGCCTGTGTTGGGGTCTGTGTGCACAGCCAGGGGTCAGAGGAGATGAGGGTGCGGCTGAGCAGGGCCCTGCGGGCGCCCTGGGGCCCACACAGGTGCAGGGAGATCTGCTCTGGAAAGAGAGAAAACTTGCTCCGACGGCTGCGCTTTGCACGTTTTCCGGGCTCTGCAGCCCGCTCAGGAGTAAGTTCCTCGTTCTCGTGTTACTCACTTGACACTAAAATGAAGACGTGGTCCCCTGAGGGATCTCCTGTGTGTTCTCAAGGAAAAGGACTTTTTGTGTGCTTTGTTGCAAGTTGTGACGAAAGCAGGTTATGCCCCGAGTGGGATGTGTTCCAGTGTTTACGTGTCATCAGGTTGCTGGTCTTTGCCACGTGTGCTCCACTGGCACAGTGATTGTTCGGTCACAGTTCTGCTTAGTGAGGATTTATCTGAACTGTCTCTTCCTCAGATGCTTAAATGTGCTGCTTTTTTTCGGGGTCCAGACTGATGCAAACCCCACCCCGCCATTTCCCTCATTCGGCAGACTTATTCCAGAACTCTCGGAGGCACTGTGCTCCGGCCCAGCACCGCTGGCAGTCGGGGGCCCTGTGCTCTGGCCGGCCGGGTGCCGCCTGCGGCTGGTGCCCTGAGCTGGCGGGGTGGGGGGAGGTCCTGTCCATCCCAAGGAGAAGCTCCTTGCGAGTCTGGTGTCCCTGGCTCAGCGTGGTCCGGTGAGCCCCTGCTGGTGGGTCACCGGGTGGGGGGAGCAGGAGGAGGGGAGGACCCCACCCCAGGAGTTTCCTTTGGGAGAAGACCAGGGGCGATTCCAACAGACCCACTTGGGGGGCACAAACAACTTAAAGACCCTTTCTGACTCTGTCTCCGTATTCCCGCCCGGGCATCCTTGAACTTGGAGAAAAAGAGCATAACTTACCAATCTCGGAAGGACGGAAGGCTGGTGGCAGCGGCGCGGCCTTGAGCCGAGTGCCGGGTGGCACCTGAGGACCAAGCCGGGGCAGCCTCGTCGCTGGCCACCGTGTGCTCCTCGAGGCGGCAGAGCCGTCCGTCTCCGTCACGGGTGGGGCCCTGAGTAGCGACTGCAGCGTTCTCAGGAGGCTGGGGAGGGCCGGGGGAGACCTGTGTGCAGTGAACTGTCAGCTGGTCCCTTGTGAGCCCTTCGTTCCTTCCAAGGAACAGGAGGGATTGGTGAAAGTGTTTGTTTTTGAAGATTCACACCTCGCGCTCTCCGTTTTTTATGTGACCTCTGCTTAGTAAATATTTTCTTTATGACAAATGTATTTCCAATATATAGCAGAATCCCAGTTTTTCACAGCGTGTCTCCGGCCCTGCACGGTGCACCGTCCACGCCCTCTGTGAGGAGGGGACAGGGAGGGCTGGCACGTGCGAGTCTCTGAGCAGTCAGTCACCAGAGGCGTGGTTTCTGGTTCCTCCTCCTGGCCTCTGGCCGTCTGAACTAGTAACAGCGTGTGTGTGTGTGTGTGTGTGTGTGTGTGATGCACGTATACGGGCTGGGGCACAAGTGAACAGTTTGTGCCTGTATTGTTGTGTATTAACGTCTGTATTGTTTTCCACACAAACACTGGCAGCCCCGCCCTGTACAGAAGCAGGAAGTAGGCGGGTCACTCGCAGCACGAGGGCAAGCGTGCTGAGAAGATAAAGATAACTGTGCAGGCCAAGGTCTGAGTCACACGGGACCACTCGGCGGTACTCGCCGTGCGCCCGTCCCAGTGACCGTCGTCACTCGGGGGTGGGTGTGCTGTGTTGCAGGCTGTACGGGTCCCCCCTCAACATCGACCTGTTCCCGGCCCTCATGGTGGAGGACCTGGTGCCGGGCAGCCGCCTGGGCCCCACGCTGCTGTGCCTGCTGAGCACCCAGTTCAAGCGCCTCCGGGATGGGGACAGGTGAGCTGGCCCGCTCCTCGGTCGCCTTTCTGGGCACTGGGGGCAGCTGGGGGCAGGGGGGTGACCCTGTGTCCGCGCTCTGGGCCGAGGGGGAGGGGTCGGCACCACGCCTCGTGCTCACCCCACCAGCTGGGCCTGCCTGCCACCGCGGCGCAGAATCGACTGGGACCTGGTTCGCAGGCACTGCCACCCCCCGGGCTGTTCCAGCGTCGCTGCTCCCAGGAGCAGACAGTCCTCCCGGCCCCAGCAGGCCGGGAGTTCGGGGCAGGTGGCACACCTGGCAGGGGAGAGGTCCCGGTTGCTGGCGTGGTCAGCTCAGTTCCAGCAGGAGGGGGCGGTGCACCCGCGTGGGGGCGGGGCCTGTGCGGCCCCCCGAGTTTGCTCAGGACCGTTGTGCTCTGGTGTGGGTGGGACGGGTGAGCCCCGCTTTGTCCACTTCCACGGGGCCCCCGGTTGACTGACCCCAGTGACGTCTGTCTGCCTCGTTGGGACCCTGAGTGGGGTCGTTTGACCTGCCCCCCCCCGGGGGGCCAGGAGCCTCGGGGCCCTCCCTGACCCCCCTCTTCCCGGACGCAGGCTCTGGTACGAAAACCCGGGGGTGTTCTCGCCGGCCCAGCTGACGCAGATCAGGCAGACGTCCCTGGCCAGGGTGCTGTGCGACAACGCGGACAACATCACGCGCGTGCAGAGGGACGTGTTCCGGGCGGCGGAGCTCCCGCACGGCTACGGCAGCTGCGAGGACATCCCCAGGGTGGACCTGCGGGTGTGGCAGGACTGCTGCGAAGGTGCCCCTCCCCCGAGGCCCCTGGTCCCCGCCGCGGGCGGTGGGCCTCGCTCGCCGCCGGGGACAGAGGCCCGCGCGGGGGCTGGCAGGCGGGACGGGCCGGCAGGGCGGTGGCAGCGGCCAGGACACGCAGCTGCCGGGCCTCCTTCCACGGGCTGTGTCCGGGCGGGGAACCCCGTGGGACCCAGGGCACGGTCTTCACGTGGGGCTTTCGGTGGCGGGAGTGTGTAGGACGGTGGCTGAAGTCCGCAGCGAGGTGCACGGAACACGAGTCTCTGAGGAGCTGGGCTCCCCGCTTTTCTTCGAGACCCAGTCTGTCCGCGTCCCTGTGCGGGGCCCTCAGGGGGGGGCAGATGGAAGGGGGGCGGCGGGGGAGCGCCGCGGCCCCCAAGTGCGGGCTGGGGAGGAGCCTGCGCGCCCCAGACGTCTCTAGGGACGTCCGGGCAGGAAAGGGCGTTCTGCTCTGAAGGGGTCTCGGTTTCGGGAGCTGCCCGCCCCGTCGGGGTGGGGAGGGGCTGGCCGCCGTCCCCGACGCTCCTGGGGCCCCGGCCCCGCACCGTGGCCTCTGCGTTCGCTCCGACTTCCCTCGCGTGGGAGCCGCGGGTTTTACTTCTCCTCTGAGCACGGCTGTGGTCTCGTTCACATGTCACCCGAGACGTGCGTCGCGCCCCCCCCGGGGACCGTCAGGAGCTGGCCGCCGGACCCTGCTCTCCTGCGGTGGGGGCGGGGGCCGGGGCGGGGGCTGTGAGAGGGTGGCCGGAACCTGCAGCCCCTGGGGTCACCGTCCTCCGCGCCTGGATGCTGAGCGCGGGGACACGGGAGACACAGGGGGGCTCCAGCCGGCCCCTCCTCGTTCCGAGGAAACGGCCTCGGCGGTAGCTGGTGTTACCTGGCTGCCCTCTCCTCGTGCGTGTAGTCGTCCGCGTGAGTGGTTTTCCGCCGTGTTGGCGTCTGTGTGCGCGAGTGGGTGCGATGTTAGCATGCCTGCCCCCACCCGCGGTCTCCGTGCGCGCGTGTGCAGGGCCAGCGCCCACACACAGCAGGCCACACAGTGATCATCGGCCCGGCACAGGCACCAGCCGTGGGCCCACGGGGCACACAGCTCGCCCCCGCCTTACGACCGAGGGGCCGTCGCACTGTTTGTCGCGAACACGCGCCCTGGCCCGCCCCGCCCCGCGCGGACGTGTGCAGACGCGTGCGGCGGCGGAGACCCGCGCTCCCCGCGCTCCCCGCGCACCCGCTCCCGGGAGCATTTCCGCTCCAGCCGTCTGTCCGCTGCGCCTTGGGCTGTTTCCGTTCCGGAGAGCGGCGGGGGGGACTCCCCGCCGGGTCGCGCGGCGCCGGGAGCGGCAGGGCACTTGGTGCGCGCGCGCAGGTGCAGCCACGGTTCTCCGGGAAGAGCGCCGGGGCAGCCAGCCGTCCGCAGGTAAACCTTCGTGTCCGGTGACGGCCGCGCCCGCTGGCCGCCCGGAGGGAGCCGGGCCAGGCCTTCCGTGCTTCCTCAGACGTCCCCCCAAGTCCTCGAGAGGCCGTGGCCGGGAGCCTTTCCGCCACCCGCCGGACCGGGGGGCGGCTGACGGCGCCTGAGACGCCTCTGGGCTTTGCCGCGGAGCCGCGTCGGAAACGCGGCAGCAGAGACAAGTGGGCTTCGGAGGGACTGAACGTGGGCCGCTCCTCACGTTCACGTCCACTTTCCAGGAAGGCCGGTGCCGCAGCCACCCTTCCGTGCGCAGCTCGTACGCACAGTCCACGCTCGGCCCACGCAGCCCCCACCTCCGTAAGGCCCCGCCCCCGCAGTGACCTGAGGGCTCCGGGTGCCTGCAGGCTCCCTCTCTCGACCAGAGTTGGAATTGCAACTTCTCTGGGGATTGACGCGTCCTAGGGACTAACCCAGGCACGTGCACACGTGTACACACACACACACACACACACACAGAAGCACAGATACACACACACCATTTTTAAACAATTGCAGTAATTATTGAAACATCACAAAGAATTTTCGTGCTTCATTCAGACCCATCAGCTGTCGATGCTTTTCCCCACCTGCCATGTACCTCTGTGCTCTTTGTGGGGAGACACCTGTCCGCGTGTCCATGTGTCCGCGTGTGTGTAAACGTTACACGTCTTCATGAAGCAGTGGAGGGAGCCGCAGGTCCCACGCCACTCCCCACAGATGACCCAACTTGTTTGGGGCTGAAATCGGGAGCCCCCACGTGGACAAAGCTTGTCCCTGGGTCTGGGTCACAGGCTCCATCCACCCCAGCTGTCACCCCTGTCACGGCAGCGTCCCCATCTGCTCTCTAGGTGACCTCTCTGTGGCTCCTCCCTCGGCCCAGGTGCAGCCCTGCCCGGGCCCTGGCGCCCCGCACCCCGCGGGGTGGTCGCCCGGCCACCTCCGGGAGGCCCGCCCTGCCCTGGGCGACGCTGACGAGGATGCGTGGGGAGCAGGTGCTGTCTGCTCGGTTAGGAAGATGCCAGTGAGCCCCTGGGCTGCTGGGCCTTCCGCCGGGGCCTGCTGTCCCCCGCGTGAGTGGGGCTGGGACCCCAAGCTGCTGACAGACTCGGGCCCGGACTCCCTGCCCGCACAGGCCTGTCCTGGATGACCCAGGGTCCTGTGCCTGGACCTGTGACAGCGAGCAGAGGGTGTGACGTGGGTCCAGCTGTGGGTCAGCTGCTGAACGGGACGTGGAGGAAGTGTCTGGGGATCCTGCGGGGGGTGGCAGCCCCTCCCCGGAGGCAAGCACAGCCTCACTGTCCTGTGCGGTTGACCCCACACCCGCCTCCCAGGCCCTGGAGACGTAAGAACTTGGAAAGGGCCCCATGTGGTCATCTGTGGCCTCAGCCTCATCCCGGCCTGCGCTGGGCTCTGGCCCGGGCGGCTGAGGTGGGCACAGCGTGGACAGGACTGTTGGTGGGGTGGCGGGCACTGTAGGGTGTGCCGCGCGCAGAGTGGCCCCAGCCCTGAGCACCCCGGGGCTGGGGCTCTGTGTGTGGGGGCGGGCAGCCAGCACAGGTGACCACGCCCCTCTCTGCTCAGACTGCAGGACCAGGGGCCAGTTCCACGCCTTCTCTTACCACTTCCGAGGCCGGCGGTCCCTGGAGTTCAGCTCCCGGGAGGAGGAGCCCACCCCGGAGGCCGGGCCCGGGAAGACGCTGAGGTACGGCTGCCCCGGGGGTCGGACTGTCCACACCTCGGGGCGGGGCCTGGGCCCCGGGCAGGGACGTCCCCACAGCCGCCTCGCACTCCCGGCCCCTGGATGAATGACGCAGGTGCCGGCGGCCTACGGTGTGGGTGTGAGCAGGTGTGCGTGTGGTGTGACGCACACTGAGGTCGTGCTGCGTCCTCCCGTCCCCCTCCCGCAGTGTCGGGGAGCGCAGCGAGCGTCCCAGGAACGCCACCCCACCCTCCTCCGAGCACCCGCAGGGGCCGGGGACGAGCGACTTCCGGGACTTCGTCCTGGAGATGCAGAAGACCATCAGCGACCTCAGGGAACAGGTACCTGCGCCTGGGTCCCGGCCCTGCCCCAGCCCTGCCCCAGCCCTGCGCTCTCCGTGCGCAAGGACAGACTCACCTCTGTGTGGCTGCACAGGCGTGACTCCTGCCAGCACCCCTTCCCTGTGGTCCGGGGGACAGCACCTGTCTGCTTGCTCTTCTCCCGGCTTGTCGGGGGCTGAGCCACACTGAGTCACTTGGTGTCCCGGTGATCGGGACCCCGGGACCCTCGGCCGCCTGCCGCTGTGGGGGGTGGGGTGGGGTGGGCGTCGCTGTCCAGCAGCTGCACAGATTGCAGGTGTGAGCGGCGGGCTTGGGGGCAGGGCTGTGATGAAGGCGACTCAGGCCTCAGGCCGGCTCTGCGGCCGCTTCTCCAGGTGCAGCCCGGCCCCCAGGAGGGTCCGGGGCGGCTCTGAGGTCCGGCCCGTCTGCGCTGTCTGGGTCCCAGTGCCGGGGCCTCGGGGTCTCCCAGGCTCTCCTCGGAGGGTCAGCGGGGTTTCGCTAAACAAGAATGGTCTCCCCTCCCACGGCTCAGGGAGCTAATTTCTGCCTTTCCAGGCCCTGCCAGGTTCATTACCAGGAAGCGGCCCCATCACCCGAGCCAGAGACGCAGCCCAGGCTGATGTGGGCGCTGGGGGCCCAGGGGTGCAGGCCTGTGGCGTGGTGACCTCTCTGCCACCCACAGGGTGGAATCTCGCCCTGTGCTCCTCACCCGTCCACGCCCCAGGGCTCAGAGCAGGGGCCTTGGTGGCTGCTCAGGGCAGGGGTGGCAGGCCGCAGGCACAGCTTCACTGCCTCGCCTGGTTCGGGTCCTCCTGGTCATCTTTGGGGCCAGCAGGTCTGAGTCCTGTGGCTTCTCCTGGCTCCTTGCCGCAGGGGCCGCAGGCAGGGGCACCCTCCCCCGCCCCTCCTCCCCCTCCCTGTGGGTGACCTGCGGCCGAGGTCCAGTAGCTTTGGCGTCGGTGACTCAGGCACATCTGAGAGTGGCTGCCCCCTTGGTGGTGACGCAGGTGACGGGGGGTCGTCACAGGCAGGGACAGGGTGTGACCCCGGGTCGTGTGGCCCTGGGAGGTCAGGGACCTGCTGCTGGTGGCCCGAGGTCAGTGGGCACCAGGAGGTCTGCGTGTGAGGCTGTCGTGGTCACTGCCGTCCAGTGTTCAGGTGTCCTGGTGGCACGGAGGCTTCACAGGGGCCACAGGGCCACGGCGTCCGGGCCTCCTCCGTCGTCAGCTGAGTGTCGGTCGCCTGTGACACAGGACCCAGGGGACGGCGCTTCAAGGGGGATGTCCACCTTCTCCCCCGGAGGCTGGAGGGGGGCAGGCCGGGCCGCCAGACGCCCCGCGTGCAGGGACCCAGACCCGCCACCGTCGCCCCGCCGGCGCCCCAGGGAGGGGGCTCCCTTCAGGGAGGCTGCCGCGGGCTGGCGGCCGCTCATGGCCGGCGTTCCTGAGCAGCCAGGGCGGGACGGCCGTCCCCGCGGGGCTCCTGCCCCCAGTCCTGGGAGAGTTTCCCCTCCGTCCGTTTCTGAGCTCGCCTCCACGTTTTGGGGGCTGCTCCCGTCACTTGGGGCGTGGGCACTCCCGACCCGAGACGAGGCGGGCAGCGCCGCCGCGGGGCCCTGGGGCAGACGCTCCTTGGCTGTCTGTTGGGGGAGCCGGCCCACGCTCCCCGCAGCCCTCGGGGGCGTCCGCCTGCGCCCTGGGGGGGGCCGGGGACGGCCGGGGCCACAGGCCCCCCGGACTGACCGCACACCCATTGGCTCTGCAGATAAAGAAACTTGAGTCTCGGCTCAGCACGGCCGAGTGCACGGACGCGGACGGGGAGCCCCACGCGGACGGCGCCAGGTGGAAGCGAGACGCGTGCACCCTCTGCGAGTGCCGAGTGAGTGCGGCCCGCCTCCGGGCAGCAGGGGCTCCTCCCTCCTCCCTGGGGGGTGTGGGCTCTTCCCCTGCCACCGTCAAGGTTGGCCCCTGGTGCACTCACACCTGCAGGGGAGGCTGGGCCCTGGAGTCAGTGCACGAGGGTCTGGCTGCAGACAGCTGGACGGGAAGCTCAGAGCAGAGCACTGAGGGGACGGGGTGGGAGCAAAGGGGTCAGCCCTGGGCGGGTGGGACTCGAGCGGGACGTGGGCATGGGGGCCAGCTGCTGACCGGTCCGCCCCGTGTCCCCCCAGCACGGGCAGGTCACCTGCTTCGTGGAAGCCTGCCAGCCCGCCGACTGCCCCGCGCCCGAGAGAGTGGACGGAGCCTGTTGTCCGTCCTGCCCGAAGGACAGCCCGGGAGTGCGGCCTTAGACCCCTCGTGCTCCGTGCATCCCCTGCAGGCAGCGGCCGGGGCGGGGCCTGCAGGCGGGAGGACGCCGAGGACTCGGCCGCTGCAGACACAGCGCGGGGGCTCGGAGCAGAGACTGCGCGGTGGGAGCAGACACGAGTCCTGACTTCACGTTAGATTCTCAGGTTTTTATTTAATGTTTTTAACGAAAACTCGGTGCTACTATTAAATTGCACAGTTAAGTCATTTAGGACCCTGCAGGGGTTCCCAGACGCCCCGTGCCTCCCGACGGACAGCCGCCCGCCAGGCCCTGGCCTGGAGCCCACGGGTGGGGGACGCGCCCATCTGCAGAGGGGCTCCGTCTCTGGCCAGCGGAGCAGGCCCTGGCACCTGGGAACCCTGATGCCTGCCCTTCAGCCCCCGGCACACGGGACTCAGGTCATCGGGCCCCACTCGGAGAGCGGCTGGAGCTGGCTGCGCCTGCTGCTGGGCTGGGGGCCGGCCGGGAGACCGCCCTCCGCTCCCCCACCCACCCCGCCACCCTCGGGCTGTGCCCGCCCGGCCCAGCGCACGGCGGGCTCCGTCGGGCGTGCGCGTGCCTCGGAGGAGCAGTGCGTGCCGGAGCCTCCCCCTCGGGCTGCGTGGGCGCCCGGAGGAGCAGCGCCCTTTACCTCAGCCGCACGCCCGCCGGAGCGCGGGGCGTTGTGCGAAAGCCGCCCCGGGTGGCAGTGTCAGCTCGGCCGGGACTCGTCCTCCCCCCCAGCAGGGCTCCCCGAATCTGGGGCCGAGCAGCTGTCACACCTCAGGGCACACGCTCTCTGACGGACCAGAGACCTCCCGTCTCCCTCTGGAAAGTTGAACCCCGGTTCTCCGGTGTCGCCCACCTCGAACAGTCTGACTCCCGGCCAGGGTGTTCCAGGAACGTTCATCTCGGTCGTCGGACAGACTTCGGTTCTCGCCCCAGGAGCCCGCGCGTGCCGACGGCTGCATGACGCGAACCGCTCTCCGGGGGGAGGAGCGGCGGGTGGGAGCCGGGGTTCTGCTGCGCGGAGGGGTCTGGGCTCCGGGTGGTCTGTCCCTGGGGGCTGGACGAGAGACCCGCCTGCCGCGGGGGCGCTGCGTCTCCGGGGCGGCGCTGGCCTCCCACCCTGGGCACCGTCGCAGTGGATTTGAACCCGGTCAGCCCGACTCCTCGGCCCCGTGTCGCAGGTCGGAGTGGGCGGCGTTTCCCAGGACATGGGACTTCGTCTGCGACACGGAGTCGAACTGAGCCGTCTGACCTGGGAGCCGGCGTCTGGGAGCCGGGAAGTGGAGGCCTGGGCCGGGAGGGGGGGCGGTTCCGCGAGGCGGCCGCAGTCCGGGCGCCCGGGAGGCTGGGCTGTGGCCGTGCAGCTGGGGCGGCACGCGGGTGGTAAGGCGCAAGGCTCGGGCAAGTGCCTGGTGGTGGTCCGTACCCTGCGGGGGCGGCTCACAGTGAGGCCAAGCCGCAGCCGCAGGCGGGGAGCCTGGGGCGAGGTGCGACCGCACGGACCGCGTGGGCCGGGCGGGAGGCGCTGGGATGGGAAGCGAAGTATCTGTTATTACGTCCCCCACCGTCGCCAACAGCTCTGTGCTCGATGTAACCAGTACGTTACCAAAGAGACGTTTGCACTATGTAACGATGCCTTTCAGTTCGAATAAACGGGCCACACTTCCCCGTGGAGACTGGCGTCCTTCTTCCCCGGGGACCTGCCGTCGGGCTGCACCCTGGGAGATGGCGGCGTGGTGTGGAGAGGAGGCAGCTCCCACAGAGGCCTCGGAGTGCATGCCCAAGGTGTTTGGTGTTGAGAAAAAAAGTATTCCCCGACAGTGTCAGGAAGTCCCCTCAGCTGCCCAAACTGAGGTTCACGTTAACATGTGTGTGTGGGGGGGGTCTCAGCGTCTCACTACCCAGCTGCAGCCAGGAGACCCTGGGGCCTTGGAGAGGGTGAGCAGGACCGAGCCTGTCAGGGTCAGGGGTCGCGGGCATGAGCAGGTTCAGGGTTGGCCTGTGATTCCAGGAAGAGCGGCCCCGGTGGCACCAGGCCGCCTGCAGGTGACCCGGGAGCCCTGCTCGGACCTGGGCCTGTCCCGCGGCCCGCGTCCGTCCCCGCGGTCGCCACCCCGAGTCTCGGCGGCAGCATCGGCGTGACCGACAGCCCCGAACGGGCCGCGTCCTTGTCCCCAGAAGCGCCAGCCGCCGGGCCTGCCGAGGGGAGCTCGGCCTCATCTGCCGTCCCGAGGCCGGGGCTGCGAGGAAGGAAGCCCCACCCGGAGCCGCAGGCCCCCCGCGTCCCTCCCCCCAGCGGCCCCCCCGTGTCTTTGTCCTTGCCGCGTCCCCGGGCGCACAGAGCGACCTCATGGGGCCGGTTTTTCCGTCCGGTTCCGGGCACCAGACTAATGGCTCCTCCAGCCGCCCTGCCCGGAAGGGCCGCCCCGCCCCAGAAGGGGCGGCCGAGGACGGGATGTCCGCGTCCCCTCTCGTCTGCGGGGACCGTGCCGTGTCGCCCGCGCGTGGGGTGGCTCTTCTGCGGGAACCTTCTCCTCTTCCCTAGACACTCTCTCCTGTGCCGACGCGGACGTGACCTCGGGTCTTGTGGGCGGGGCTCTTTCCAGCAAGGGCCCCCCCCTCCCCCCCTTAAAGCCCTGCGTGCCACCGCTGCTCGACCCGGAGTCACAGGCTCTGCAGATACCCGCTTCCTTCCCGCACGTGCACACGTGTCCGCCTCGTCCTGTCCTCGCTTGCAAAACACGTCAGGACCCAGACGCGCTGCCGCGGGCCCCGGGGACGCGTGGAAAGCCTAGCACTCAGGAATCGCTGCACCAGAGACCGGCTGAGACAGTGGCCCCGGCCGGCACTGCTGGTCACCGGGCTCAGAGCAGGGACACGTGGGAAGGGAACGGGGGCCACGCGTCCCCAGGCACGTCTGAGCGCGGGCCCTGGGGGCCACCTCTGCGCCTCGGACCTGGGGGGCGCCGGCTCGGCCCCCCACCCTCCTCCGCCGCCACGGAGACCAGGTGGCTTCCGCCGCAGGTTGACCTGGGACTCGGTCCGTCCCGCACGGAGCCCGTGGGCGGGCCGGAGCGGCAGGGGCCCCGGGCAGGCCCTCACACCTGCAGCGTGACGCAGGGTGGCCCTGGCCCAGCCACTGAACCCCTCTCCTCGCTCGTCCGTTTTCAAACCAGAGACGGGACGGCGCGCTGCCCCCGGGTCCCCCGATTCGGTCTCGAAAGGACGGTGCGTGGTGACGCCCGTGTTCACCCAGACAGAACGCGGCCGGACACGGCCCTCGCTTCCCGGGAGGCCCCAGGCGTCCGGCGGCCAGCTCCCAGCAGACGCCCTCGCCTGACCCAGGACGTCCAGAGTGGGGGCCAGCGGCTGGGGGGCCCGACCCAGAGGAGCCCCCGGGTCCCTGCAGACTCAGCCCCCACTCTCAGCACTTCCACGCGGAACGCACCGGAACGCGGCGGGGTGCAGGGCCTCGGCTGGCTGCTCACGACAGGGAGCCCCTGAGCCTGTAGGATGACCCGATTGTAGGACTTTTTTTAAAGCAGACCCGGTAACGCCAGTGGGAACGTGCACACGCAGACGCCCGAGCTGCCGGGAGCTGTCTGCGTGCAGAGCGGGGTCCGGCCCCCGTGGGCCCCGCCCCTTGCCCCCCCCCCCCCCGTGGGCCCCCGTCCTGCGGAGAAGGAGCCGGGTCTGCGCCCCTCGGGGCCGAGGCCCTGCAGCTCTGCCCTCCGAGATCACCCGGGGACGCGAGCTTGTGGACCACGCCCCAGAACCCCTCTGCCCTGGGGGCCCCGGGGCAAGTGCCCCCCGCCCCATGGGGCGGCGCTGCCACCGTGTCGACGGCGGAGAGGTCAGGCCCACGAGCGATGGCCCACGCCCGGCGCCCGGGGCTGGAGGACGTGCTGACGTCACCCACAGACGGGGCCTCGGCGGGCGGTGGGGCCGCCGGGGTCTGCGGGCTGGCGCACCGGCTCTGCTCGGGGAGCCGTGGTGGGCGCGCGGCGTCCTCGGCGAGCGGACGGGCGCTCGCGCTGGACTCGTTCACGACATGCTGCGCCGCCCTCCCCTGCGCGCTCCCCGCCCCCACCCCGTTCACGCGGCGCATCCCGCCGGCGGGTCTCACGACACCGACAGGTGCTTCCTGCAGACCGGCCCCGAGGGCCCCCGTGGGGACCTCATTTCCTGCCATTGTCCCCAGGTGTCACCTTTGCTCAGCGAGACGGCAGGGACCTGAATGGTCCGCCAGCCGGGAGCGGAGCTCAGGCCCATCGAGGTCTTCTGGAACCTTCCAGCGCAGCCGGCTGCCCGCGGGCTCCGTCTCGTCAGGAGGCCTCGCACCTGACGGGTTCCGGGGCCTCGAGTCCCCAGGACTTCCCCCTGGGCCTCTGGGGGGCAAACCGGGGGCGTCCCCGGGTCCCTTCTCCGAACCCCTCGGGTCTGGAAACGAGGTTTCCCGGCCGTCGGGGTAACTGTCGATGCTGCGGCAATGAGCCCCCGGAGCAGCCCCTTGCACACCCCCGGCCCCCCCCACCCGCGACTCGTGTTGGCAGCTGTTGCAGGAGCTCCCCCTGCTGGTCAGCCCAGCGCATGCCCCACCCAGCCCTGCCTCCCCCCCCCCCCCCCCCCCAACCCTCGTGCAGCAAAGGCGGACTGTGGAGCTCGTGGCTCCCGGGCTGTCCGCTCCACCCCGGGGTTGCCTGCCGGTGGGGGGCGCCCCGGCCCAGCACGCACGGCTGCCCTGCGTGTGGCGTGGGAAGAGGAGGGCCCCACTGGGTCCCAGGCGCGGGGCAGGCCGGGTCGGGGGAACCGGGGCCGAGCTTTCCTTCTCTTGGTCACCACTGCCCGCCCGCCTGTGTGTTCCGGGGCCACCTGGGCAGGTGCACTCTCCCGTTCTGGGGGTCGGGCTGCCCCAGGGCCACCTCAGAGCCTTCCAGAAACTAGGGGGTGGGAGGGGCACCTCCAGGACCTTCCCTGGGGCCCCAGAGGGCAGCTGGCCCCGGCCCAGGCCGGCACCTGCTGTGGCTGCAGAGGCCTGGGAAGGAACCGAGAGGCCGTTTGGGGAGCCGGAGCCGGCCCTGGCCCTGCGTCGGGATTAGCCATCTGCTGGTGGAGATGGAAACTCTCCCTGTGAGCACAGCCCCTGCACTCAAGGACGGTGGCAGCCGCACGGCCGCAGGGACAGGCGCCAGGCGCCCCGCTGGCCGGCCCGCCCGCAGGCGTGGCCTCCCGGGGAGAGGCAGCTGCCTTCCTGCCCTCCCTGGCCCCGGGCGGGACGCGGCTGCCCGGCCCTCGGCCCCTTGGGAAGAACGGGCCTTTCTCTGGGGGATACCACCTGCTGACCCCTCCTAACCCCCCCCACCCCGCCCCAGCTGCCCACCACGCGGCTCCCGGAGCCTCCAGAGCGCCTCAGGGTCTGGGCCGTGCTGGGCCTGCGTCCTCACCCTTGGACGTGTGGGGAGCCCGGGCCCTCCTCTGCCTCGGTCCCCTTAAGGAAAGTCCATTGATCTCAGTTCAGACCCTGGGCCGTTCTGGGCTGGCTGGCCGGGGCCGCGGCCGCGCTGGCTCTGCAGGGCACAGGGGCAGCCGGGGGAGGGGGGGGCGGTCCACGGGACGCGGCTGTCGCACAGCCAGTGGAGTGGGGTGCCCACGGGATGGCACGGTGGGGTCAGGAAGCGGGGGGTGTCCAGGGCTCCGGGACCCGTGTCCTCTGGAACTTGCTGGGGGCTGAATAAGTGCCTCCAAGCACAGCATCCAGGGGGCTCCAGCCAGGAGGCAGGCAGACCTTGTGCGGATATGGGGATGGGGGGGCGCTCCCGGGTGGGTGGGCTCCCTCTGCTCCCGGGACGCCGAGCCCACCCAGCCCAGAGCCGACTCTGCAGCCACCCGCTGGGGGGCGGTGACTGGCTGGCGTCTGAGGCGCTCAGACCCCATGACACTGGACGCGCCCGGACGGACACACCAACCCTCTCTCGTCCCGGACCCACCCGAGGCCCAGCCCGGCGGGCAGAGCTCCCCACGGAGCCCGTACAGCGGCATTCCCGTGACAGGCACCCCCCAGTGGGACGTTCGGCCTCTGCTTGCATGCCTTTGGTGACAGGGAGCTCATCCCTCTGAGGCCTCCTGGCTCTGGGTCGGCTGTAACTACACAGAGATGACTTTACACACCGATCCGGAGTGAGCCCCTCCGTCACCTCCGCCCCTGGGCCACCTACATCTTCACCTCGGGACACACTCGGAACCCAGAGCGGCTCCCGGCCGCCGCAGGCTCCAGTGCCACCCGGCTCCTCCCCTGAGGCGGGGGGGGAGTGGCAGGCACAGGTGGGACGACCGCTCCCCCCCACTCGCACCATTGGTGCTCGGGAACAGTTGTTATTCGAGTGTTTTTTCATCTATACATTGAACTCGGGGTTATTTTCTAATGTTTTAGCATCACCGTGAAAGTGTGTTTTTTGCACTGAGCCCAGTTACGCACGTGGGCCAGCTGCTGGCACCGAGGGTCCCGCGCGTACGAGTCAGTTCCCGCCTCCAGGCCGAACTTAGGAGTCCGGACCGCGAGCACGGTCTCCGTGGGCTAGTAACTACCGCCGCGGTCCGCGCATTGCGTCCGGGCCCCGGTTAGTCCAGTCCCGCAGCTGGGAAGGCCGCCTGCGCGTGTGAGTCACAGTGGTTGC